ATTGTCACATCAATTCATTAAACCCGTTATCTCTGCGTCTATTGTTAGTTTTTTTTCGATTTTTTTTCAGATTTTTTGAAACTTATGGAGAGAAATATTTGATTACTACTCAGCAGATCACTTCCGAAGTTGTTAATAGACTTCCAAGGTGATACAACCATTACCGAGTAACCGTAACTATGGATACTTTACGACCTCACTTAGGCAGCAACAATCGTGTATGTATTTCGCTTCAAAGATGAATATTGAAATAGGAGGGTTCAACTATGCGGTTGTCCCTGAATCATTTGCGTAAGTCTTGCCTCACTGGCTTTTCGATTGAGCGCCATTTCTTATAGGCGTAATCTTTGGATTGCTGGTGGAGACACTCTGGTGGTTGGATATGATGTCTCTCATCCAGGGAAGCCATCTAGAGAAGAGATAATGAGTTGCACTCCACCGCAGAAGCCTAGCGTTGTTGGAGTAAGCATTGAATATGCCTAGAGAACTCTTAATTTTTTATTTCATTTCTTTATAAATATATAAATTGTGCATTGAATTTTGCTTTTTGAAATGTTGTAAATACGCAATATAAATAGCATGACTAAGATAGAATATTTTTTTCAGTTTTCCTTTAACGGTGCATCTCATCCGGAATGCTTCATAGGAGACTATCACTTCCAGACCCCAAGAATAGCGGGTTACTTCTAACCCATTTTCATAATTTTCCCTTGTTTATGGATTAGACTCAAATATTACTAAGTAATGTTAGGTGGAAGGTCACGTGCTCAATTCTCTTTTCAAATGGATGCTTGGTTTATTCTCCCGGCATCGCGGAGTATGGCCGAGAAGAGTTGTCATCACAAGGGATGGTGTATCGGAAGGACAACATAAAATGGTCTAGAACCAGACAGATTTCTGGGGAAAAATACTCCATACAAGAAAAAACATTGCTAACTTGAGGTGATCGGCGAGGAACTCAATGCTATAAAGGAAGCTTGCGAAGAGTTTGCCAGAATGAATGGAGACGAGTCGTGGATGCCATTGTTCACAGTGATAATAACGACGAAACGACACAATGCACGATTTTTTGTACGGAGTGGTTCCGGTAAGCAGCATTAGTCAATATATCGGGCATTTTTTTCCTAAAAGGATTCCGCATATTATGTTCTTAGATGTCGCTAATCCAAAGCCAGCTACAGTACCTGCAGTCTAGTTGGCTGCTGCAAGTATGCGGAAAATTGCAATGATTGAGTCTGCGAATTACGTATCAGAACTTTTTGTCTCTGGTACCTTCTTACAGGGAACAGCGAGACCAACGTCGTATCAAGTAATCGTGGACGAAAATGAGATGAGTTCGGATGAGCTTCAGTCGCTCATGCTTGCCTTGACTTTCCATCATCAAGTAAGTATCATTGTTTATTGTACAATTCCACTGTAATTTCTTTTTTTTTTATGGATTCTAGATCTCCAATGCTCCCGTTTCTCTCCCTGAACCTATTTATCAAGCCGATGAGTGGGCAAAACGTGGAAAAGATATCTGGAAAGCTTATACGTAAGAATACTTCCCAAAATGGTTCAATCCAATAATACCTGCATAGAATGTATCATCTGGCATTTTGAATCCGATCATCCCTCAATTCTTGAAATTCGGAAAAAGCATTTCCAACAGGGAATCATTTATAGATGCATTGATGTCGTCAATTGGGAGGGGTGTACAGAGAGGAGAATCTACTTTTTTGATTGATATAAGAATGACTGTAGTGAATATGGTGTTATACATTTCTTTGGCAAGAAATAAGTGAAATGCGATGCAAGGGAAAAACTGCTTGTTTCAATGGCTTATACCTTCAAAAAATTTGTCAAACAGGATTGGTAAGACCGTGTAAGACCGTGTATCCATATGTTTTGATACGGTTCTCTATACTTCCTTTTTGACTTTTAAGGGGTGGGTGAACATATTTCTTAAAAGAACACAGTCTGCCGGTTGTTGCTTTGAGGATTGCAATATAAACAATATCACAAAGTCGAGCAAATTTCATCTTCCAATAAGTTATGCAATCTGAAAGAGGACGTGAAGATTTCAAATATGCTCTGTTGTCGATTCCTTTTTATTAAAGGACGTTCATGTGGAAGCCTGGACCATTAGCCATTTTGAAACAAAATGCATTTGTCTATCTTACTTGAGTGTCAGGGGTTGGCTTCTTCTTTGATCGAGCTTTCATATTGATAATTTGAGCTTTTTTCATATTGGCCTTTCAGGGGGTAATGCTGTTTATGGAGATGAGTTAACATAGGAGCTTTCGATGCTGTAAAAACTACAATTGAGCAAAAGTGGCCTGGGGATGACAGAGAATCCGTACAGCCTTACTATTTCCCATCTTTTCTCTCTCTTCTTCCTCTCATAACCCCTCTGCTCCTCCGTCCCAACCTTTCACTTGGAACACGAAATGTTCAATGTGTTTCCTTCATAAGGGGTTCATGCTCCTTATTGCAAGTACTTTTGAAAACTGCTTTCTCGAAGCAAAAAGGTGAGCTTAAGTACCTTGGAGGGTTTCAAAAATTTTTGATACACATGTTAATCAGTAAAGATAGTTATCTTTTTTTCCATAACCACTCTGAAATGAAGCTGTAGTCGAGAATCTCTGGTTTGTATTGGCTTAGTGTAATGGTAAAATACCAAAGCAAAGAATAATAAATTTTTCATAGAAATTTTGACTAGTTTCTCTTTACTGCAAAAAGGATTTATTGGGAGGAGTATTTTCTGCCGTCCTCGTAGTTACTAAAATTCACTTATCGTATGCAGAAGCTGCGAATTTTTAGAATAAAGAAACGATTAACAGTATTTCAGTGATCGCCTCAATCCTGTACTCAAGAGTGAACGCGGCGCATTCTCTGATTACCCCATCGATTTTGAGGCAATGACGACAAGATTGGCCTTCTGGAATACAAAGTTGGAGGGACGCCATGTCAACGCGTAGTTAGATGTTATATTTAGATGCATCTGTGCAATAGTCACATTTTGATAAGAAATTGGGAAGATTTCAGACAGGGTTCCCCTTCTGCTATATGTGAAGTTTCACTGGGATAGCAATTTGGACTTTGTTAGTTAAGTTTTGCTTAGCTTGAAGATTTTTATACGAACTGATTAGTTCTTTTTGTACAAACTGATGATGGTCGACTTTTTTTGGATTTTGGACGAGGTGCAAGATCCAAACTTTTTGATACTCATCCTAGGTACTTTTCAGTTCAGTTAAGCTTAGAACTCTTGGTTTGGAGGTCTAACATTGTAATCCAGTGAAAACACTAGACCTCTTGAAGTGTTTTCACACCTCTTTTTTTCAATATGAGCTTCATTCTGCACTTCTAGAAGCTTTAGCAACTTCTAACTTTTGGTTTTCTGAACTCCTTAGAATTCTCAAGTCACACTCCCACTGAATGTGTTCCGTTGTTCTTGTACGTAGTTTTGCTAAATTGGGGACGCAATATTACTCTGAACTGACGTAACCAAGATTAATCAGTTGTGGAAGAAGACAAAACTTAGAAAAAATCACCACCAAAACTATGTATTTACTTAGCTACCGACAGGAGCGAAGGGTACGACTATCACCGGTATTTTTATAATGTCTCCCCTGCGTAGCTGTCGAGATGCGTAATTGGTAACTCTTCAGCTTATCTAATGATTTTTGCTGTTTATGCTGGATATCTTAAATGCTTGATTACGCTGATCCTAACTAAAGCAACTTTGAATCAATTTGCTATTAATACTTTTGATCAATAAAGAAGTGCAATAATTTGTAGAGGTACTTATGACAAGTTCGTCTTCATAGCCTTACCAATTTTGCACGGTTCAAATTTGGCTACACGATGGTTTATCCATTTACTCAATTGAGGGCTGCTTGGTATCGCTTTTTTGCTTAGGATTTTTCTTTCTTATTTCTATGTTTATTGTTATTTGTTTATGTTTGTTTATTTGTTCTTTCCTCAATTTGTCTTTTAGTCTGTTCAAACAACCTCAATTTTTCGGTTGTTTCAGTGCTCTACGCGTCCCTATAAATAATATCACTAGATAACACTAGAGAACAAAGGCACTAGTTGAGATGATAAAATAGTTGACATGAAATTCTATCACTTTGCTGACTAATATTATGCCTACTTGTTTCTGAGGGAGCACTTCTTAGTAAGCTCCGTTTCTTCCTTTTCGTAGCTAATAGAATTCAAGGTTATAACTACAAAATATTAGGTCAAAATAGAGAATATAATCAATAATCGCGAGAGGCAGAATAGAATTCAGAAGTATCAGAACAAAGTTTCGGTCTGCTGTTTTCGAGGTAGCCTATTAGGTTGTCTGAAAGTTACAAGAAACTTTCAAGATTCTGTAAGGTCC